CTACTACTACTTATTATTATTACTACTACTAGTGCTGCTGCTGCTGCTACTACTACTACTACTACTACTACGACTACTACTGCTACTAGTGCTGCTGCTGCCGCTACTATTACGACTAGTACTACTAGTAGTACTGCTGCCGCTACAAGTACTGCTAGAACTACTATTTCTGCTGCTTCTACGACCATTGCTACTACGACGATGACGACTACGACAACAACAACAACAAAATAACACCATGTGTACAAGCTGACATGCAGTAATTGACACCATGTCCACGGTGTTGGAACTTCTGAACTCAGAAATGCTGCAATTCACAGCATTTGAAGCTCTGAAATATCAGAAGCAGCAGTGATTTTACAACATGCTAGCCTGTGAGCCGCCACAAATGTTGGAAATTCTGTATTGAACAGCATCTGAAGCCTTGAAACAGTAGCATGTGCTGCAATTCACACTTTTTGCGACAAGAAAGAACAGCCGTACACGGTCTGGTTATTTGTTTTTGATACCTCTTGAATTTGTTAGTTGATCCGCTGCGATAATTTGTGTGTTGGTCATTTTTCATTTTTGATCCGGCAGCCCTGCTTTGCCTCCTGCATGCGTTGCACGTGCATCCGAGGTCCGCCTGTACAAGTGTGAAGCCCAGTATATGGAGGCTTTTCAGGATATTCGCAGGAATGTCAAGCAGACGGAGCTGGTTGTGGCACACAAATCTGTGCACCCGTGACCCAGTCCCTCCCTCCCTCCCCCTCCGTCTCCGTTGTCTCATTCTGTCTTTTTCCTTTCACCCAGCAGTGGCGATGACTCGCCTGAGTCTCCGAAAAGCAGCTGTCGAGGTCTCCGGGCTCTCGGCGCCAAGAAAGCCGCAGCGAGGGTCGGCCGAGCACAAAGCCCCAGGCGGCGCAGGCGCGCTTGCTCGACCTATCAGGGATGCAGGCGGCGCCAACACATCGACCCACGGAGGCTGACCTGGAGCAAGGCGACGGAAATGTCTCCAGCGAGCAGGAGTCCAATAAGGCCGGGTGGGAGCGGAGCAGTGACGTGAAACATCAGCAGCGAGACCCGTCCAGAAGATCCACAACGTGGAACATTTGAGAACGATTTTCGTCCTTGTGGGGTTCTCTGCGAAGCTTTGCTTGCCAGGGCATGCGCCGGGTGCGAGTGCAGCCGGGGCAGCCCAAGATCCTCAACGCTTGCGGCGGGTGCAGGCGTGTGGGTGCTTGGACAAGTCACCACCTGCCATAGTGCTCGCATGTCATGTTCTTTTGAAGCATATTGCCGACTAGATGCTGCGCAGCATAGACCAGTTTCGTGCAGCTCATCACATCTTGTCCAGTCTAGTGAAACAGATGCAGGTTGGAACTGCCAGAGCACCTGGCCGCCAGCTTGGCCAGCGAGGTCAGTTCGGGTAATTGTATGATAGAGGCACTCTGACGGCCTGTGTGCTGCTGGAGCGACATAGTAATAACAGGTGTGCGCGACACGGGCATAGTGCAATGGAATGGTGGTGGAGTGGTGAAGTAGCACAGCAGTGGGAACGCTGAAACAACAGAAACGATGTAACATGGATGGAGTGGTGCTGGTGCTGCAGTAAAGTACATGAACAGCACACAGAGGGAGAGAGAGAGAGAGAGAGAGAGAGAAAGAGCTGAACGTAGCTTTTGTCGGGATGCAGGCAGGGCTAAAGCAGGTCAGGGGGGTATCAACTGCGTAGAGTCTCAAAAAAAAGAGAGCCGAGCACCCACCTTTTGTTGCATGTCACTTGCTTTGTCCTTGTCATGCATTCCGGGTCTGAGGTAACGATGCTTGCAGTACTAAGTGCTCTGACCTTTGACCTGCCTCCTCAAAAGCACATCCTTCCTTCACGTCGGCCGGTCCACCGGACCATCGCACAGCAGAGTCCTCTCCGTCAACATGATGGAAGGGGATGCGCTTCGGGGCGAGTCAGGGGGGTCTGCTCCTGGCTCTGACCCCAAACAAAGCGAAAGCAAAGCTGAACTTAGCTTTTGCTCCTACTTGGAACCACAAAGCCGGCTTGCACAGTAAACCGGCAACGATGGTCCCAAAAGCTTAGGACTAGCTTAAGAGGCCGCGGGGACGAGGCTGGGACGCGGGCCAAAGTTCAGGGCGGGTTTCCACGACCGTTCAACCCAACACGTAGCCGACCTCGAGGGTGAAAAGCATCCTTTTGCGACCCCAAAGCCTGGCTTTCTGCAACCGGTTAGGGGGAGGTGCCTCGGCACGGGTCCGATTCGCTCGGACCTGCACTTAAGGGAAGGAAGGGAGGGAGGGAGGGAAGGAAGGAAGGAAGGAAGGAAGGGAAAGAGAGAGCCATTTCGGCTCAAGAGGGGGCGGACCCGCTTCCTGTGACGTTGTCTGTGTGTCCCGTCCCTCCTTCCTCTCTCTAAAGTGCCTAAAGGGCCGGCCATCGTCCACTACAAGATGGTAGACAACTCAGACGAGTGGGACAGTACGAGAGCCTGGAGCCCATGGCTTTTGCCGGGAACAAGGTCTCACCGTCACCGGGCACCGTGACTTCCAGCCCCATCTGACGACGAACTGGAACGCTGGGCGGAGAAGTGCAACATCTACCAGATCGTGACCGTGGCAAGAAGGGGGAGTATTGTAACACATGCGAGATCTGGCGCCGGGGATGAACAACCACAGTGGACCAACATGGCTGGATGATCCAAGCCCAACTGGCATGGAGACAGCCACTGGAGCCAGCAGTGCATAATCGAATTGCACACGCAGTTGTGATTTCGGGAGATTGGTCATGATTGTATTTGAGATTCGTGGCTGCCTTTCCATTGCTTTACTGGCTGGGGTTTGGGTCCTTGTGTTGCTTGCCACACCTATATCAGACATGCGAGTTGCATCCGTACACCTGGCGATGACAGCGTGCCAACCTCGGCTACCTGCCGACACAGTCAAGGTCTTTCTTTACGTCGGGGGATTTGAGAAGAGTAACCGTAAACTCATTAACATCACCGCAGCACAAGCTCCAAACCGGCGCAGCCTTCGCCGGAAGGTGAAAAAGCAGGTTCTGGACATGGCGGCCCTTCCCTCAGAGTGCGATAGGGTCTGGAGCAGGTTTGTTCTGGCGTTATCATGCGACTATTTTGCACAGCCTATCAGCAGGAAACGACATGTGCCTTGTTACATATCTTTGTTGTCAGAGGTTGCTTGTCGCATGCCGACTGCCATTCAGCTTCAACGACTCAATGCCATCCATGGAGCAGCTTGAGCCCAGCCAGTAATCCTCATAGCTGTGACCGGACCGTCCAAAATGAGCGCTTCCCAGGCCTAGGCGTGCCAAATAGAAGTCGGGAGACCGGAGAGGTACATGAATTTCACACCTCCAAGCCCCAGCAGCCCATAGCAGCCCTAAGCCACAACTAAAAGGTACCCCCTACCGGCTCTGCTCCGCTCTTCTCCAAAAGCGCGAGCTGCCGGGAATGCGGCGGCCGAGTGGGCCCTGAGCCTGAGCGAGAGCTCCGAGAGCTCAGGGGCCAGCAGGGCCGCCGCCCATCCCCCGAGCACTTTATACACACAAAAAACCCATACCTTACCCATACCTTGGCTTTTTGCCTCAAAAGAAGCCTGAAACGGAGTGGGTCCCTTTAAGCCGCAACAACACATCTCGAGTCCCGTCTAACTTCAACCCTAAGCCTCCCTCGCCTTCGCGGCTTCACGGCGATGTCGCTGTGTACTGTCGTCGAGCTGGCTCTCCAGTTTGAGAGCTTTCGGAACGTCGACCTGTTCCACCAAGGCAAGTCAGTCCAGGGCAGCTTCAGCAGAGACCTTGGCTCCTGTCCTGGAGGCCTTTATCACCTGAAGACCCGCCTCTATCGAGACGATGAGGGCCGGGCCTTGGCGTTTCCCTACAGCTACCTCAAGGCCTCCCTGACCGAATGTCAAGCGTGCCCCACATCCCATCCCTTAGGCCCCGAGGGGCGCGTAAGGCGGGATCGGTGCCATTGAACTTCTAGACCGCTTCGTGCGGCCACTCTTCTCTCCTGCATTCCACGCTGGCAGGGCCCAAGCATGGCCATGGAGCCGCCCAAGGGAAAGCCTCGGGTGGACCACCACAACTTGCCGCTCAGCGAGCAAGAGCCCGGCCAAACCGCTCAGATATGCTCAGATTCTATGAACTAACTGTGTTGCAGCTTCGTCTGTCGTTGAAACTGCAGCGCTCCTGCTACTCGAGGAAAATGCTCTTGTGTCAACCCCGTCAGGCCGTCTGGATACAGCGATAAAGGCACACATAAGCACTCGCACCGCAAATGAAGCCAAGACCCTTGAGCTCCTGCGTCCAACCCCTCTTTGTGTGCCCCGAAGCCAAGGATCCCGGCCCACGTCAACGAAGAAATGTGCCCAGACAGAGCTTGTGGTTTTGGCTTCTCATGGTGTGAGGGCCTGTGTTAAGGGGCCGAGGGTTTGCCGGCCTTTTCGTTCCGGCACTGCCTGTGTCATGAGGGATGGCTCGGTCTCCAATGCCTTTTGGGTCTTCAATCCTTGTCAAGCAAATGTCTTATGGGGCTTTTGGGTGAAAAGCCGGGCTGCTCTGTAGCATGAGCATGTACTGTGTCCGAGGTACACCTTCTCCACGAGGAGCTTCTTGATCCGCTACTGCGAGGAGGAGGTCGAACTCGGCGACGTGGGCCAGTTCCGGCTCGAGCTTAGCCCTTCCGAGCTCCAAAGCTGAACGGGGATTGGAACGGCTTGGCTGCGCGTCTCTGCGCGCGTCTGCCATGCCATGCCGTGGCCCAGGTTGGAGCGGCGAAATCCTCTTCTCCTGGAGGTGCACTCGGGTTGGGCTGATGTTAGCGCCTGCGAGCGCAGCTGCTTGAAAAACCAGGTGGAGCTGATGTTTGCGGACCTTACGCAGCATCCCTCCGAACCGCTGGGCGACCAGCCGGATGTTGAGCCCGGCCCCCCAAGAGCGGGCATTCGGGCAGCCTGCATTTTTGTTTTAGACGGGGTGGGGTTTCGGGGTGTGTCGGATGTCTGAGGTCGGCAGAGTTCCGCTGCGTGTCCACGCAGGTTCTGCGACTGCGGGGAGTGGCCGCGGCCCAAGCCGAGACCGATTTTTTCCGAGTTCTTCACAGTGTCACTGTACAAGGCTCCCCTGGCATGTTGTCAAGATCCTTTTGCAAGGAGAGAGGTTTGCATGACTTCTGCCCCGTCGTCTTCGACGAGTGCCACTTCTGCCTGCTGAACCTGGCAGTGCATTCGGTGCCCTGGCACGATCTGACGCTCTCACCAAGCTGCGCAAAGCAAAGCTGTGCTGCAGGCCGTGGTGGACCTCCGGTTCCGTGTCCGCCCTGCTCTGAGGAAGATGGCAGCAACCAAGCCCAAGGCAGGATCTCTCACTCGGCTCATTCGGCAGGGGAGTGAATAGATCTTCGGCTTCTTGGGAGGTGGCCGGCCCTGCCCCCCGAGCCGGAGCAAAGGAGTCGGAGGCGCAGGACCTCTGCTCTCTGCTCTAAACCACCGGGAAGGAGCCCTCAGAGCTTCAGAGTGTCTTGTCTCCTGCACCTTCCGCTTGTCCTCGTATATGTGGCTGAAGGGATACTCCAGACCTCTAGCTGCCAGCAGAAAATTTCTTGGTCGTACACAGCCATGGCGCGTTCCTCCATCTCCTTGCTGATTGCCCTGGCGGCCGGCGCCCTGCTCGCCAAGAACATGGGTCTGGGTTTTGTGGGTATGCGGCCATCCGTCCGAAGCTCTTCCGTGGCCATGAGGGCGGAGGAGGAGGAGGGCGAAGTCGAGGAGAAGCCCATTGCTGAGGGCGATCGGCTGAGGCTCAAGGTCCAGTCGGCAGAGGGCGATGCCATCAAGGAGGCTGCTTCGGAGGTTATCCTGCCCAGCGCCAGCGGCCAGTTGGGCATCTTGGCCAACCACGCGCCCATGATGTCCGCCCTGGACGTCGGCGTGCTCCGCTACAAGCAGGAGATTCGCCATATCCCATAAGGCCCACGTAGGTATCATATCGCATATCTACTCCCATATCTCATGTCCCATAACGCCCCTAAAGTACGGCCATGGCTTTTTGCTTCTCCGAACAGGATGGCAAGTGGGTGCCCGTGGTGGTCATGGGCGGCTTCGCCTCAGTGGACTCCAACCAGCTCTCCGTCCTCTGCAACGACTTCGAGGTGCCTTAAAGAGGTTTCGGGGTTTAGGGGGTCAGAGCGATATCTCATGGAATAGATGGAAGCTTTGAAGGTACGAGAACTTGCCTTTACGGCACGAGAACTTGCCCGAAAGAATCGGGACAGCAAAACACTGCGCCAGTTCAGAGGAGAATGTGACAAGTAGAACGGAGGAACCTGTCAATTGCATCAGATGCCGGCATACCCTGACCGGGGAACTCTTGCAATGATTGCAGGTCGCAGATGACATTGACATGAACGAGGCCTTCCACTGAATTCATCTGAATTCAGTAAGAACACGCGCAATGTTGACATGTTAGCCCAGGCTTCCTGGGTTCGCTGATGGAATTGCCCAGGCCAAGTCAGAGATGGAGAGCGCCACCGAGTTGATGGAGAAGGCGGACTCCAAGACCGACAAGCTGGAGGCCACACAGAAGGCCTGGCTCTGACTGTTCTGTCCTTTTCTTCTTCAGTAGTTCGCGGAAGCGAGGGTTTGGTATCGCTGAGGTGAAGAAGGCAGCTGCGAGGCTCCAGGCGGCGATGTTCCTGTCCGGCAAGAAGTGAGCCTACAAGGCAAAGGTTCACAGTCTAGATGTCCAGGATCACGGTAAAGTGGTTTTTCAACGTTTCTCCGGCTGCATAAGCAGCAGTGGGAGCAGATGATGTGCGTATTTCCCAAAGCAGTGTCATGATCGGTGAAGCAGCCTTTGGGATTGAACGCTGCTCCCAGCATTGTCCAGCATTCGATGAGGAGACTGCTTCGTGAGCCTGTTATCCTAATGCAAAACAGCACTGGCATGCAAGGGCCGTGCGTTGTTGGCGTGTCGTACATGCGCAGCATCAAAAGGCCTGTCGGAGTTAAGCACCAGTGGCAGGACAGTGAAACTGGCGAAAGCCGGGGGGGCGATGTTGGCGTGCCTGCAGCCATGCCCTCAGCCCACACCAGCCGTCAACCTCATGTCCAGACCTTCCATGTCGAAGTCGTAGCTCAACATGTAATATGTGTAGTGCTCTTCACCTTTAGGAGGGCAGGGCGGCAACCTCTCAGGTCGTGAGGCATTCTCTGCATTCTTCATCCGCGGACGGGTCCAAAGAGCATGACCAGGACTCGTTCGGGCATGCATGTATGTATGTGTGGTTCTCCAAAAAGGTGTAATGGTTTCATGCCGTTCCATTGCATTCCGGTCCGTTGTATGCATGCCATGCCATCGGCTACGCCAAGCAAGCTTATTCTTTTCCATTCAGTTCAATTCTATCGTGGTCTACTCCGTTCTCTTCCGTTCCCTCCCATTCTATTCTGTCCGTTCTATTCTCTTCTATTCTGATCTATTCTGTTCCATGCCGTTCCATTCTATTCTGTTCTGCTCTCTGCTATTGTGCTTGATTCTAGTCTAGTCTTGTCTTGTCTGTGCTATTTACGTGTGTGTGTGTATATATATATATATGTATGTCTATATACATATATATATATATATATATATATATCATGAACCAGCCGACGTGATTGTGTAGCTGCTTCCATCTCCTTGTTGCTGTTCTTCCCCTTGAGATCTAGTTGGGCATCTATTCAGATCCGCAGGAGCGGCCGCCAGCAAGTTGGCAGGCCATCTCGGGCGAGAGGAATACTATGCCACATTGTCCCAACGATCTGCACTTTTTGGTAGACCGAGCACGAGTCGAGTCCAGGCTGCTCCACCCGCGGCACTCTCCTTGGCCGAGGCACTCTTTGCCGAGGCGGGGCTTGGTCCGGGGGGCAGGAGACCTCGGGACCCAATTCGCTTGCTAGCAGGAGCTCACCAAGCCCATGGAGCAGAATCGCTTGCTCCAGCTGGCAGAAGGGCTCTACAGGCCTCAGATGTTGTCTTGAGTCTTGAGCCGGGAAGGCACGGAAGCATTTGGATTCACAGGCGACACCTCGGCGCCCTGTCGTCTTCCTATGTCCAGCAAGCCACCTGGTTCAGACAGATCTGCCGTGGCCTCAGCCTTCCGGGTCGTCGTGCGGCTCGCGATGTCTGCTGGCTTAGGCGAGCGGTGCTTCACGCCCCTGCAGCGCGAGGCGCGGACAAGACTTTCTAGGTCGGAGCCCGCGAGACGCGGGAAATTGTTCTGGCCTTGCATTGCATGAAGACCCCCACCCCCCACCAAGGCCCTAAAGCCTTGAGCCGCAGGCCCTTTTCGGCCACGTGGATGCGACGGAGCAGAGCGTCGTGCCGCAAGATCTGGGGATCGGCGTGCAGGGCCCAGGCTATGTCTGAAGATGCCGCGGGGTCTCAACAGGAACTCAGTCAGAGAGAGTGGAAACTTGTACCAGGAGCGAAAGGTTGCTTCTCTCGCCTTCTTCGCAAGTCTGTTGTTGATTCAAAAACTTGTCCTACCTCGCACCTCAGCCGTCAGATGCCAGTGCATGGAAGCTCACGGGATATGCTTGAGGCCTTGCGTCTGCCAAAGGGACTCATGCAGCCGCAGCCGGCGCCCAGCGGTGCCCACTGCCTGCTTTTTGGCCTCGGACGTTGTAGATGCAAGGCTACATTGCTTGACCACAGCTCAGAAGTCGCACCTTTCAGCTTTGCCCATCGCCGAATCCCGAAATTTGATTTGGCCTGCCAGGAGCATCGAGGGTAAACGGCTCCTCCGCCGGAATCAGCGTGGAGCCCGTCGACCTGCTTTGCGCGTTGCTGCCACACACGAAAAAACCACGCGCTCGTGTGGCCTGGCCTGAGGCTCGCTGAAGCCAGCGACAGGCTTTGAGTGCCCTCCTGGCGCAGCTCGGCAAAGGAAAGCAAAGCCTAGAGCAGCCGGCAAACGGGGCCGCTGCCCGCTACCTGTAGGGGTTAAAGGGCAGGGCCTGCTATGCACTTGGCACGAACCGAGGGGAGCGATCTGCAAGAAAGCATTCGGGAGAGAATTCAGCAGTGCCTCGTCCGCAGAGTTGTCGCTGATCTCATCTTGTCAGCCTATCTCTCGACCTGAGGTCGGGCAGAAGTCTGACGCCGGAAGCAGTGTCCAGGTGCCCATCATCCAACACTAACTTGTACGAAACGCAGAGGCCGTAACGACCCTGCTGAAGGTTGCTGGCTTACGACCTCAACTCTGTGTCGTGCCAGATCCTGGAGCTGTGGCACCAGGCTGGTCTGCAGCATTGCTCAGCTTGAAGCATCTTGGAGCCTTCGACTGCTTCAGGTTCTAAACGTTTTGTCCTTCGGCTACCGGGAAATTTCTTCCATGCTCCGCACGCAGTGGGAGGAGCGCATCATTGACCAGTGACTCGGCGGAATGAAGGGCGACTCCATCGCTTTCCGCTGCAGAGCCCGACAGTTTTGAATGACAGGTGGTCTGTTTCCATCATTCGGGAGAAGATGAGCGCCAACTTGGCTGAGCCGGACAACAAGTCTGTAGGCCGGTTGTTGCATTGACTCTGGGTGCTTGGGACACACATCCACGGCGGTGCACAGGCGAAGCCCACACGGCCGCATCTGAGACTCGTCCGATCTTTGGGGGCAGAAGGGCTACTTGAAGCGATGCAGCGGCTGTAGCCTGGCTCCTGGTGGCCTTTGGCCTTGCGAGGAGACTTTGCGAAAGACAGTAAAGCCCCGGGCTCCCGAGCTCGCCTCCATCGAGGCTCAGAGGGCTCACAGCCTCGAGTCAACGCCCAAAAGCTTCGTCTTGAGCGTGATACTCTGGAGGATACGACCCTGCTTCCTCCTATTGAGCAGCGGCCAGTTCTCTTCGACCAGCGCTCCGTCGCCAGCATGGACCGGCGACTGGTGTTCTTCTGCTTGCTGCACTGTTTTTGCTGTTGCTCGCTGATACAAGTATGTACTTGCACATATGTGTGTGTATCTGTACATACGCAGAGAGACAGACAGACAGACAGACAGACAGACAGACAGACAGACAGCCAGCCAGCCAGCCAGCCAGCCAGCCAGCCAGCCAGCCAGCCGGCCGGCAGGCAGGCAGGCAGGCAGGCAGGCAGGCAGGCAGGCAGGCAGGCAGGCAGGCAGCAGGCAGGCAGATACACACAAACACACATAATACATACATGCATACATCCATACATAGATTTCTGTATAGATTTTATATAGACATGTACACACGGAGACATGCATGCGTGTGCATGTTTGTTTGGCTCTTGTTATCTATTTTGCCATGTGTTGCTTGGAATAGGAATCGTTGGAACAATAGGAACGGCAGAAGAAGCAAGTGTTTTCATTTCCATATTATATACTTGAGATGAAGGAGCGGTTGTCAGCTGCAGAAGGCGAGGGTGGAAGGCATCTAAAAATATTTGAGTTCCTTCGAACTTCGATTCGCAACCATGGTAAACTACAGTGTATTATGAAAGCTCTGAGTCTGGAGTGCTTGCCAGAGTGTAACACGGTCATTCAAAATGTCAAATGCCTTTTGAGTTTCTGTACATGACACCCGGTCTTGAAGTGTAAAGCTTGAGAGCTTCGAGTCTCCGGGGAGCGTGCTGCGCGTGGTAATGATGAGATTGCACAGAAAGACGGCAATCGCGACCATATTCAAGCTATCTATGATTATGGTGCTTGTACGACGAGTGCCACTGCCATTGCTACTGCTACGACGACGCGGACGAAGACGACGACGACTGCTAGTACTGCCACCACGACGACGACTACGACTACGACTACGACGACGACTACGACGACGTCGTCACGGTGACGACTACGACGACGACGAGCTGAGGCTAAGATGCGAATTACTTACTGCGGTTGTCCAGAGTTTGATGCCACGGCCTGAATTTTCAGTGCCACTCCCTGCTGCAGGACACTCAGGGAATGAAGGACGCACTGCACCCCAGTATCTGGGAGTCCCGTGTTCCTTCGGCACCGCGACAGAATGGAGTGTTGGAGCATTTTCACTGGCGAGCGTAGAAGTAGGTAAAGATGGCTGCCGCGGTGACGGTAGGCAGCGGCTTTTGTGGTTTTGATGGCGACCGTTGTGATAGTGTCAGTAATGGCATTCACGGCAGCTGCAGTGGTGGAGGCGACGGAGCTGGAACAACAAGTGACGGTAGTTCACGCAGTTCGATACTAGCATATGTAAGAGAAGCAACCGCAGCAGCAACAAAGACAGCCATCACTGCAACAACAGCATCGACAGTCTGAACATGCTTGATACGGTTCAGCGTTGCCCGTGTCCTTCAGGCCGGGATTTGGACTTGGAGTTCGTTCCCCTTGTCCCTTAACTTAGAGACGAGCTCGATGCCCTAGCCCCATAACCATCATGGTTCATGAATCATGAGGGAAAGTCAGCCATAGTCTGCAATCCCAGGCTCCGAAGCAGTACCGTGGCGTGCACCTTTTCGTGCTTTGCCACGGCTTCCAGGGGAGCCCTGGAAGAACAGTGCACGGGCCATTTAGGGTCTATGGCTTCTAGGAACCTGGTTTTGTCATTGTCCTTCCCAGCCTCAGTAAGCACAGCTTCCAAGAAGCGTGTGAAGCCTAGCCAGTGGGTAATGATTGCTTCTTGATGAAGACGCAGGGCCAAGAATGTGGAGCACGATTTTCGGGTGAGCATTTGCTGTCTGCACACGACGGGGAGTTGCAAACTCAATGCTGCAATGTTAGTGATCTTAGCAGCAGAGCGAGGAGTTGGTTCAGCAAGGGTAGTGATAGCAGCACTGGCAAAGACCTCAGTCGTCGCAGCAATGGCTGTAGTAACAGAGAGAAGCTGCCAGGAATTCCTTTGATATGCGGCTTATGAAGAACAACATCGCCCTGCTCTATCCGGATGCCATCTTCCTCTGCTCCCAGTCCAATGAGGACTGCAATCCTGCAGCAAACCCTCGGCCGGACTCGCATCTAGTGAAGAAGCGCAGAGTCCCCGGGCCCCGAACCTCTCAAGCCCTAAACTCCTAAACCCTGGACCCCTGGACCCTGAACCCTGGAAACTGAAGAGCGGAGGACAACACGGAGGGTGACTTCTCGGAAATGGGTATCCGCCTTGCCCAGGAGGCGCAGGGAAGCCGTTGAAACCCCTCTAGGTGAGGGAATGTTTGGAGCTTCGTATGACAATCCCACCGGTTCATCCCAACCGAAAGCCCGTAGCGTCTTGAAGCCCAAGAAGCTACCAATCCAATCGCCTGCCAAAACCCCGCAACACCAGAACTAGAACCCTTAACGAGACAAGACATGCAGGTGCTCCGTTGTCCAACCTGTAGCAGCCAGTGCAAGGTCTTGACTGTGTGCTGGTAACACCCCAAAATACTCAAGGCCTCTGCCAGTCCCAGCTGGGTCTCGTCCCTCAGCCCCAAGAATTCTCAAGCCGTTGGGCCCGGAACGAAGGAAGAGCCAAGAGCGCAGCGACAGGTCTCGAACTTCATCTGCGACTGGTGCCCTGGCTCGGCTTTGGGCCGCCTGAGCTTCATCGCTCACTCCATCGGCCCGGACCTTAGTTCGAATGTTCGGGCTTTGGAAGTTGAGCAATTCGGCGGGAGGCGAGTCGAGTACTGGGTGCAAGAATCATTCGGGGTAGGTGTCGTCACTCGGGCAGGCGGCCTCATCGTCCGCTCCGCCATTCCGCACCTTCAGGTCCGACAGTAGATGCTGATGAAATCGCCTGTGCAAGGTTTGTGCTGCATCTTGTCCATGCCACCCCGACCCGACGGCCAACAGCGAAGGAATTCAAGGACAAGATGTTCACCTTCATTACTTTTTCCTCGCCGCACGTGGGCTCCGCATCTGCAAGAGACGAATCTCCGAAGCAAGGCTTCTCTGACAGTGACACAGTCTAAGGCTATTTCTTGAAGAACATCAGCTTGTTCCACCTTGGCCTCAAGGACGCGACTTCCAGAAACTGCCTAGCCCCGGCCCACTTGCTCTGTTTACACAGGTGCTGCAATCCTGGCGTGGATCGCAATGCCTCACGCAGCTCTCCATGGCAGATGCGGATGATCCCAGGCAGACCATGATATACAAGCCGCCTGGCCTATTCAGAATTCAGCGGAGCGCAGCGGCGCAGCTTCCCTCGAAAGCCAAGAAGGAGGCTTCCGTGAGCCTGGGGACTTCAGCCGAGGCTCAGTCTAACGCCTGGCTTCGAGCATCCCTGCTGCAAGCGGCTTCCGCAAACTTGAAGCACAAGATGCGGACCAGCCACCGAGTCATCAGTTGCGAGTATGACCAGCTCTGCGATTTGTTCGGGGCAGGGGTGGGGGGCGGGTAGGTGTGGGACATGGCATGGTCCGGGACAGTTGTAGGATTCATGGCGTGGACACCCAGGTACTTTCAGAATGTCGTGCTGGTCTCCTGTGCGAGTGATAGCTACGGGCCTTTCGACTCTGCGCGGGCCGGGATCCTAGCAGCCATGGATCACAGCACTACGAGCCTGCGGGGACCTCGACCAAGGTCGAAATTGGCAACATGCTGGGGATGCACACATCCCAGCAGGCATACCAGGAAATTGTCCAGAATCTTTGGAAGAACGTTCGGTGCCCAGTCGTGCTTTGCCGACTCGTGGATCCCTGTTCGCCGGAACGGTGCTCATAGCTCTTGTGAGAATGCTAACTGTAGGTGAAACCCGAGAGGGTGTTCCGCTTTGACGTTAACTTCCACATCCCGGCAGCTCGGTTAGAGAGAAACCTAGCACTCTGAGCACGGCTCAAGAGGCCTTGTCTGTCTGTAAAGTTTTGCATGATGCGCGAATGCGGGGCTTTGTCCTGAGGAGAACAACCTCGTGTCTTGGTTGCAGGGATCCGATCGATCCGTGCCATCATGTAGTGGGGGGGCCGCCATGCTCAGGATACCTTCATCGGACGTGCGGCGCACATCCAGTTCCTAGAGTGCCAGCCGATCATGAGAATGATCATTCACAACTTTAGCTTTCTGTTCCGCTAGGCTCTGATACCGGGGCACCAGCGAAGGCAGTTCCCGCATCTTCCCGTCCTGCAATGCGATAAACAACTGGGCATCTCACCTCCGATTTCTAGCAGAGCCTTGCGGAACACTCATCGTGGCATCTCCGCATGACAGCAAGCGATGCCAAATGGCTTTGCCAGCCTCGTGCTGAGGACTCAGGGCTCCAGGGTGTCACTCCAAATCCCCCTCAGATCCAAAGCATCTCCAAGGCACCCTGGAGCAGATGCAAGTAACGTGATGCAGGCATAGTCAACGTACTCTCGGCTTGCTCATGTTGGCACGACAGCACGCAACGATCGGAGCAGGCGGATGTGTGTCATGCCAAAAAGTATCGCGAGACTGCTGTGGGGTCATTGGGGAAGGCAAGGTTCATGTGGTGGCGGCTCGTACGAGTTAAGTACCGAAGTCAGTTTCCCAGCCGCAGCCACGACCCGAAGAGCAGGCTCGAGGTCCGTCCCTCTGGCAATGCACTTCATGCAACCACCACGCACCCGGCTCAGAAGACATCCTCCTCCAAGGATTTGGTCATCAATCCATTGGGTGCTGGACCATTCCAGCTCGTCGGGAGCCCAACGGCCAGAAACGACAAAGCGCTGTAGAGCATGAATGTGCATGTCGTTTTTTGGCGTAACTTCATAATCACGTGTCTGAAACGTGCAGTTGTGTTTACCTGTGTGTGCGAGTGCACTCTGCCTCTGCCTCCGTCTCTCCCACGCTGTGGCACTGGGGGTGGGTAGCCGAAGGCGGAGTTTTGGACCCATTGTCTCCCTTCATTTGGCCTTTTGTCTTCTGTCCTCCTCCGTTTGGGACCGGTGCGGCGAGCAACTTCGCAACTGAGATCAGAAAACGCTGACAAAGAGGAGCTCCAAAGTCTCTTCTGTCAAATCCTCTCGTCCTTTTCGAGCGGTTTGCTTCTCTTCCTCAAAGTTTTCAGTCCGTTTCGATTGGTGTGCTCGTCATCCTCAGATTCTCCTGTTTGTTGGATTCTCTCACAGCTTTCAGTCTTTTTCGAGTAGTTTGCCCACTTTCGCAATTGTTCTGGGTCGGATTGCTCCTATATGACGGCTTCTCGAGTATCTTTCGATCGGCTTGTTCCGTGTCCCAAAATATCGAAGAGTGGCAAAGCTGATGATCGGGACTCGAATATTCGATAAGAGCAAATCGCTACGGCCGCGTTGGGCGGCGGACTTGTTTGCATAGACGAGGTCCCTGTTTTGCAGTACTCGGAAGGAACCCTAAACCCTCAACCCGCCGTAGCCATTTTGGCTCAAGCTACTCCGTAGCGTTGTGGTCTGGAAATCTGTCTTGATCATCCTACGAACAATGCGGGTTTCCATCCGGAACGCCGCGTGACTCGAAGATCGGGTGGAGTCACTGGGGTCATCGACGTAGCATCTGGTGACGTCTTCGTTCCAGTCCTGACATTGGCTGGCATAGGGGCTCCAAGCTCAACAGCGGCAGGTGTGTGCATGAAGCCCCGAAAAATGCAAATGTTCTGGGGCGCCGTGCTTGGTATGTAGACTCACAGAGTTCACGGCAAACAATGAGGTTGAAGGGCTCAACCTGCAGCGACTCTTTGAACCCGTGACGGTCGCGGCCTGGCTCGAGAGATGGTCCCGAACTTATAGTGTCTCTTCCGGAGCGACGAGCTTACTTGGGAGTCTTGGGAGGAGAAAGTCCGCGTCCAGCACTCCAGGCCAATGGCGCGTTTCAAGAACGGATGGGTTGTGGCCAATCGTCAGTCAAAGGCCCGTTTCAGCACCTCTTCTTACTTTCCCGGTGTGTCTTCCGGATGATCACTGGTCTATCTGATCGGGGAGCGACCAATGAAGATGTGTGTGACATTCTGGGCATTGTTACTGTGCATGCAAATTGTTGTGGCGATCTGGTTCGCCAGCTTGGCTGGATCCTCGCCGAACGTTGTCAGCCCCGTGAAGCATGGTGGCTACGCGCAGGCGAAGGCCGAGTCGGCCCTGAGCGTCGTCGGGGCACACCGAAAGCTCTCCACTACAGCCGCGTGGGAAGCTTTGCGCGCTATTCCGGGACTGGCCAGGGCCTAAGCAATGCCAGAAGCAGCATTTGGCCAGACAGAGCCAACGTTTCCAGGAGCTCCGGCATTTTCAGTTGGCCGTGCATCATGGTTGCATCTTTGTACGTGCCACAGCACCTCCTGGACCTGTGCCACAGCCAGCCCGCTGATCCATCTTGGGCAAGACTTCCAATCCAAGCTCGCTTGAACTGCTCACCAGCACGGGATACACAACAATCGGGCACGGTCCACTGCTGCTGCCGTTGGAACTCGTTGCTCTGTTTGTGGCGTGGGGTTCTGGAGCTCATGTCGCCTATATGCAAGAGCAAGCGTTGCTTGTACAGGTTATCGAAGCAGCGGACTTGGACCCCGAGCCAGTCGTCCATGCCCCATGCCCATGCGCATTGCGGCAGCCTGCGATGAGCCCGATCCGGACCCCATACTCACCGTGTTTCCGTGGCGCTCGCTGCTCGCGCGGTTTCTTGACAACACCCGGTCTTGGGGTGACGCGTTGCAGCACAACGTCATCACCATGATCGAAAGACGGGCCGTCCAACATCTTTTTTGGAAGATCTGCCTGTCGCCGTCAATTCTGCACAGGAGCAGAGCCCGTGCTTTTTCACCAAGGATGTCGGGATGTCTTTAGTGCAGCTGACTAACTCATCTTGTGGCCGACATTATTTCCCCGTTGCGATGACCACGGGAAGGCGATACTCTTGCCTGCGGAGTGGGCGATGTGTATTTGCAGTTTCGACTGAGTCGGACTTTGCAAGACGGTGCACTCATTTGGAGTATTGCCAACCCCTCAAAAAGCCTTAAACTTGTAACCCTAAGCCGTAGGTTAGCCCTTGCGAAGATCGGCGCTGTAATGACATCTCAGCAGCCAATTCAGGAAAAACGCCTAGCCAAGGGCACCCCCATTGGCGACGAATTGAAAGGGAAGTTTCTCTTGGACAGTGCGAGGACGTTTGAACCTCACCGCATTGCGAAACCTGGCGGTTACGGAGGGCTGCAAAACCACTTCGTTGGCTTCATTTGGCCTATGCAATGAATAATGAATGTACCCAGGTACACATGCGCGCGAAGGGAGGCCTCCTGAGACCTGCGCGCAAAGACCCAAACAGACAAACACACAGACACAGACACAGACACAGATGCAGACCCAAACACAGACACAGACACTGACACTGACACTGACTGACACTCACAGACACAGACAGACACACAGACACAGACACAGAC